GTTTATCCGCAACTATGACCTGTCGAAAAACACACACACTGTCGTCCTATCCCCTCTTCCCAGCATACCACTTTGGTGGACTGTCCCTTCGAATATCCTCCAGGGAGCGCCCTTCCACCCTCCGTCACCCGAAGTCACCATAACGATGGATGCACTCCATGGGCCTTTCTGTTGGAGACAAATGGGACGCGCAGATGAGGAAGCGACACATAAACTTCCTAGAACTGCTGGCTATACAACATGATATCACCAGCTTCCTACCTTTAATTAAGGGAACATGTGTCACGGTCCTCACGGACAACACCACAGCGCTCTCTTATGTCAACAGACAGGGAGGCACTGTTTCCCTATGCCTCTGCAACCTTGCCATCCAATTGTGGGAGCTTTGCATCGCCAACAACATTTTCCTCATGGCCACTCATATTCCCGGACACATGAACGTGCAGGCAGACCATCTAAGTCGAGCAGGACTCAGCCTTCACGAGTGGGACAATGCTCAGCCTTCACGAGTGTGGATGAACCCAACATACCTCCTCCCACTCTTGACTGTGTTGTGAGATCCCCAAGTCGATGTCTTTGCCACCAGAAAAAACAAAAGGTGCCCTCTGTTCTTCTGTCGAGGAGGCAGGGATTCACAATCTTTGGGAGATGGTCTCCTTTACCCTTGGTCCACGGGACTTCTTTACCTGTTCCCCCCCTTACCTCTGCTTCTGAGAGTGGTCCGCAAAATACTCAGAGACGCCGCAGACTGCATCTTACACCATGGTGGCCGAGACAACCTTGCTTTTCAACAGTCTTCGAGCTATCACAAGGAATATACCATCAATTCCCTCCGGCTCAGGACCTTCTCCTCCTCCCCGACTCCCCTCTTCTCCATCACATCATACCACAGTTGAAACTGACGGCATGGAGAATAACATCACCGGCTTCTCCGCCCACGTAGCGAACGTCCTGTGGAATTCAAGGAAGCCTACTACGCGGAGGTCCTACGATTATAAATGGCAAAGGTTCTGTTCTTCCCTAGGTGATGACGCCCCTCGAGCCACCTCAGTGGGTCTCGAAAGAGTTTTTCAATTCCTCCTCTTGTTAGCTGACTCATGCGATCTCAAACTCCTAGCATGGAAAACGGCCTTTTTAATTGCTGTCACCTCGGCTAGGCGAGTGGGAGAAATGTTGGCTTTCCGACACGATACACCTTACCTGTCGTTTTTGCCAGATGGAGTCCGCCTTGTACCGGACATTTCCTTCCTGCCTAAGATGGTGTCAGAGTTCCACCTGCAGGCGGAGGTCTTCCTCCCTGACTTCTTCCCAAATCCAACATCAGCGGAGGACAAATTATTACACACTTTAGATGTGAAGCGGGCTCTCTTGTTCTACCTCAATAGAATGCACCCAACTACACGAGACTCACAACTATTTGTCTCGTACGTTTCACCAAGACTGGGCGCTCGCATCACGGCTCAGCGCCTGTCAAAGTGGATTGTAAGTCTGATCCATCTATGTTACTTATTTATTTATTTAATTATTTATTTTTCATATTTATATCCCGCCCTCCCCAATGGGCTCAGGGTGGCTCACAAGGGCAAGGTAAAACCGAGCCATAATTAAAACATATAATACATAATAAAAACATCCAACATTAAAACAGTGGTGCTCAATCAGTTACTAAACGTAAGTCCAAGATGACTCAGCTCAGTTCTTCTCCAGAATCTTCTAAACATTCCCAAGTTCTTCCTCAGGGCCTCGTCCTTTAGGTGCAGTGACGGTGATGGTATAGTGGGGCTGCGGCTCCTACTCAAAAGCCTGGTGGAAGAGCTCCGTCTTGCAGGCCCTGCGGAACTGCATAAGATCCCGCAGGGCCCGGATCTCCCCCGGGAGCTCGTTCCACCAGGTAGGTGCCGCCACCGAAAAAGCCCTGGCCCTGGTCACAGCTGATTTGGCATCCTTGGAGTAGTACTTACTTGCTAAACAGCCATTACCTGGCCCTATCAGGGCTCATTCTACCAGGGCTGTCGTGACTTCCACTGCCTTCCTCCAGGGAGTGCCCCTGCTGGACATTTGTAAAGCCGCTACGTGGGCCATGCCTAACACCTTCATCAGACACTATGCCCTAGACGTCCGTACGAACACCAGTACCAGCATGGGACGTCACATTCTATCTTCGGCTACGCAGTAAAGAACCTGCCAGCACCCTCCTCCAGGTAGGCTATTGCTCGCTAATCTCCCATGGGTGTGAAGCACAGAGACCACGTCGAAGATAAGCAGGTTGCTTACCAGTAACTGGTGATCTTCAAGGGGTCATCTGTGCATTCACACCACCCGCCCTCCTTCCCTGCTGCTGTCAGCTTCTACATTTTTAATGGGGGTTGATTTGCAGCGGTTTGAAGGAACTGGCGGGATTTCCGCGCCCACCCCTCTAGGCATGCACGGTGGGGTTCCTGCGCATGCCTGAGGGACTGGGTGCGAAAATCCGTTAAAAGAGCTTGCTACTGCACCGATCGATCCAGCACGTGCGCACTGAATCCCATGGGTGTGAATGCACAGATGACCACTCAAAGATCACCAGTTACTGGTAAGCAACCTGTTTTTCATACTTCTACTTCTTTCCCTCCTGCACTACCTACTTATTAATTAGTTCAACATTAACCTTATAGAAATTTCCCCACTGAAATTACTTTAAACATGTTTTATAGTCACATATTACAACCATTAGTTACTTAGGTAAAATTATTTAACAATGTCCTCTTAATACCCAACAATATTCTACCAGGCAACATTCTCTTTTACCCTCATCTCAACCTGTTAAAAGTATCTTCATTTTCCCATTATACCAGCAAAAAAGGCTATTCTACAGTATAATTTACTTTGCTTATTCTTGTTTTCAGCAGCATTTTTTTCAAAACAATTGCTCTTAGATGCTTTATTTTTTTGTATTCAAAAAGTTCTATTTCCCTTGGTGGGCATCTAAGTATCATTAGCTCAAACCTCAATTTTCTGCTACACCTTTTCGTTTTTCCCCCCATGCGTCTTACTCTTTCTCCAGCTTTCTTCGCCTTTTCACTATAAGGGCGTCTCTTTTGGCCACAAAAAAGTATTTTGAAGGGTTCTTTAGTCCATGTCCTTGGCTCCCCTTTTTCCCCTGTAAGTACAGGAAATACTTCTTGTGATGCCTGCTCTTCAGGAGCGTCTTGACTGTTAAGCTGCTCCTCTTCCTTTCTCTCCTCACTCTATTTTTCTTTTTTAGTTGTTCTTCAAAAAAGCTTTAAGAAATTTATTTTTTCATGAGGGGGAGTCTACCGATTACCTCAGGCCTTCGGGCTACCCCCCCCCCCAATGTTCCCTCTTCTTCGCTTCTTTTATTGAGAAGAAGTGGGACTTTTTCAACAGGTGCAGAGGTTGCGGCAGCAAACTTGCTCGTCCCGACCGTCATACCCTCTGCATTTTTTGTTAGCGCGTCTTCTTTCTCCCCCTCCGGCGCCATTTTAGTCTATTATTTTAGTTGAAATCCGTCTCAAAACTCAACAATCGTTATAGCTCCAACTTCTTATTCAGATTAGTGCTACAAATTAATTAAAGTCCCAACAAGTGGATTCTCATGCCCCCATACAGGTTTTGTTTACCTTTTGCTCCGTTCCTCTTTTTGGCCGCTTATACTTTCCTTTTAGGGATAAAAGTATTCCTGGAGGCTCTTAATAAAGGTTTTCGCCAGTTCCTCTTTATTTCCCTTTTTTCTTCATTGTGTTGTGATAAATTAATCTTCTTTACAAATATAATTTAAAAGGACGATTGGCTGCAGCTGTGTGGAGCATGGCGTCCGTGCTCCACTCTACCCTGGGAAAAATGGCTGTTTCGGGGGGTGGGTGGACTTTATGGCATTATACGCAGCTGAGGCCCCTTCCCAGGCTCCACCCCCCAGATACCCAGGTGTTTCCCAACCCAGAGCTGACAACTCAGCCCCACCCTGAGACCATCATGGATGACTGGGGATTTGAACCGGAGTCTCTTGAGTCCTGGTCAGGTACCACATTGGTTCTCCTTTATCAACTATAAATCATTCTTTCTTGTACCAAATTGAAAGAATTTGTGGACCTGAGTTTGCCTTTATCTGGCCAGAGGATTTATAAAGATTTTGCCCTGTTCTTGAGTCTTTCTAGTGTGATTACATATATTTCCCCACTTTGTGATATTTTTAAAAATAGTGTTAAATTGAGTGAAATTCCCATTCCATTGGAAATTTGTTTAATTGCTATTTCAGTGTGATTTTCAATCATTCTCATAGTAAATAATTTTTTAATAAGTACACTACCATTTCAGTGCTGTAAGTAACTTGCAGTGTGTTTAAGCACGTCTTGAAGTAGAATTTTTCTGTAGTTGCATACATTTGTTGAATGTGAGTTGTCATAGTCTGTTCCTTAATAATGGAAAGAATCAAAAGATGGCATATCCTAAGACTGCTACAAAATGCAGGCCATAAAGTTCTCACTCACTCACTGTCTCTTTAATGATGGCTTAAGTTCTTTGTATTCTTCTGCTCTGTGCTCTGCTCACTCTTGGCATACCTTACTACTGCAGTGGCTCTTATTTTTTTTAGAACTGGAATGGCTCTGCACTGATTTTGCAGTGTAAGATTTTATTCTCATTTGTACATCACTGACCACTTTATCAAGGCATTCTGTACTTTCATAAACAGTAATCCCCTCACTATTCACAACACAGATATTGCAATAAAGGAGGTTAGTGCCATTTCAGCATTTAGCATCCATACCAAACTAGTGACTACATTAATAACAGAGGTCATGAGATGTTAGAGACACGTGAATAATGATGACCACAGTGGAGATGCAATTAATGTGCTGAAGGGAAGGTCTCACTAAAGTTACTGTCCTTAAATCAGTTGTATAGTTAAAATGCTCCTTGAAGTTACTTTGAGGCTGGGCAAGATGCATATCCTAATAGGTTTTCAGATAGATTAAAACCGTCCTATCTCTTTCTACTTGCAGATCTTCTGGTTAATCCCTCCCACTCCTCAGAACTTGGAGTTATATGAAAACTGGCTGCTCTCAGGGAAACAAGGGGACATTTTTCTTGGTGACCGGGTGTCAGATTGTCAGCGTATTGAGCTCAAGCAAGGCTATACCTTTGTCATACCCTCAGGTGTGAGGATGTAAACAGAACTTCTAAATGTTGTATTACTGAGATGTTTCTGGTGGTTAGCATTGGCAGTATAGTCTGAGATTAAACAGCTGTTCCCTGCTTAGTCATAGTGAGGATGTCTGCTACATACACATCTTACTTATACTGGAGGAAATTCAGGGGTATGGGATACACTCAGCTGTAGAAAATCAGGAACCATAAAACAACCCATATTCACTAATCCAAGTCAAAGCATTTTTTCATCGTGACTGTTGAATAAAACCATACATGGTCTTTATATAGAAACTTATCATAGTTTAAATAACATTAAAAGGAGGAGCTGTGATTAACAGAAAGCTGCTTTCTCTGCCCCATTGGTGACTTTGGGTTCCAAAAGCATAAATCTGAAGCTAGAAATTATAGAAATCAACTTTTAGGAGACATGACTCTTAATGATGCAACTCTAGAAAGGACCTAAATGCAGTGATTCCCCCTTCAGGTTGGATCCATGCAGTGTACACTCCTATGGACACCCTTGTTTTTGGTGGTAACTTTCTGCATAGTTTCAATATCCCTATGCAGTTGAGGATCTACAGCATTGAAGACCGAACACGGGTAAGCACTTTCAAACCAGAATTCATTTTTTTTCAAGAGCAATATTGTAGCTCCATAAAGAATTACCTGTTTGTCTTTGCTTCCTGCTTAGACCGAGGAAAAGGGAGGTTAAAATTATCTGGGGAGCATGTACTATTATACAGTATATTGTTTTAAGGGGATACATGCATGTGCTAGTTTATATTTGGAAAAAGAGTTGACTGACTTTCTGATGTTCCATACTACTTTGATATTCTGGCTGTGCTTAATCCTTGGCCAAAGTAATATTGCATTAGAACACTTAGATTAATAAACAGTTGAGTTGCTACTAGTTATTTCCTACAAAATAAATTCAGCAGTCTCAGACTAGAGAGCAAAACATAAGCTTGGGCCAGCAAAGAAGATTAATTGTAACTGCCCATGTTGCCAGTCACACCCCCCCCCCATTATTCTGAATGATGGTTAACTTCTGTTACTGCAAGAAGTTCAAAGTGTACTGATTATCAGGGAATTTTGCAAATATCACTGTGTGTGTACCAAGTATGCAACATTATCATCAAATGCCTTCAATCCACAAGAAGTTAAAATACAAAGGTATCTTAACATTTCTCTATCCCACCCTTCCTCCAAGAAGCTCAATAAGTATACATGGTTCTCTCTCATATTTTCACAACAGCCCTATGAGGTAGGTTAGAGTGACTGGCCCAAGGTCACCTAGTGAGCTTCATGGCAGAGTGAAGATTTAAACCCACATCTCCTAGGCACTGTTTTCATCGTCACCAACACTCAGCACTATGCCACAGAGGCAACACACCACACAAGACATTAGATGTGATACTTGGGGGGATCTCATTTTCCCCTCCCCCACTATTTCCTGCTTCCCTTTCTTCTCCCCTCCTACTGCTTTTGTCTGTCCTGCCCACCCACCCACCAAACCTATCTTTGTCTCCCCCAAACCTGGTTTCCCCTCCTTTCCTACCCCAGCTGCCTCTTGCTGGGAAAAGTCACAAAGTTGGGCAGTGCTGGCTGCTGAGTCCTGTGCCTGAGTTGGAGCTGGGCCCAGTTGCATGGTGGGGAACCCACAAGAACTTTCATAGGGCACCCCATTTTCCCTTGTATCCCCCTCCCTACACAATTTATTTATTTATTTCAATTTCTACCCCGCCCTCCCCACAAATGGGCTCAGGACGGCTAACAAACAGGGGCACCATGTGCCAATACATAAAACCGAATAAAACCAGATAAAACAGAATAAATATCAAAATTACGTAAAGTGCTCAATGCTGTTGCTCTTAAATTAAGACAAGGTGGTGTCCAGTAAATATTGCCTCCATTCCCGTACGAAGTGCGATCATCATAGGGCCACTCCGTTCCCAGTTATCAGGCGGGTTCGTTGGTGATGGTGGCAGTGGCGGCTCCTAGTCGAAAGCCTGGCGGAAGAGCTCCGTCTTGCAGGCCCTGCAGAACTGTACAAGGTCCTGCAGGGCCCTGATCTCCTCCGGGAGTTCATTCCACCAGGTAGGAGCCGCCACTGAGTAGGCCCTGGCCCTGGTTGCAGCAAGCCGGGCCTCCCTGGAATCACTAGGCGATGTTGTGCCCCAGACCGTAGTGCTCTTTGGGGTATATACGGGGAAAGGCAGTCCCTCAGGCCATATAGGGCTTTAAAGGTAAGAACCAGCAGTTTGAAGTGAACCCGGTACGCTATTGGCAGCCAGTGCAGCGCTTTCCGCACAGGCTGGATGTGCTCCCATCTAGGGATACCCACCAACAGCCTGGCCGCAGCATTCTGCATGAGCTGCAGCTTTCGGATTTGCGACATAACTTCTTTTGGCATTGACTCGATGTTAAAACCACAAGCCAGGGCTCTCTGGTCATTATGGCAGCGGCAGCCCCTAATTAAATGCCTGGCAGAAGAGCTCCATCTTGCAGGCCCTGTGGAACTGTGAGAGATACTGCAGGGCCCTGATCTTCTCCGGGAGCTCGTTCCACCAGGTAGGGGCCGCCACTGAAAAGGCCCTGGTAGTACCTAGCCTGGCCTCCCTCAGGCCAGGGGGGGGGTCAACCGATTTTGAGACCCTCTCTGGGGTATATAAGGGGAAAGGCGGTCCCGTAGGTATGTCGGACCCCAGCCATATAGGCCTTAAAAGTAAGAACCAGCACCTTGAAGTGGATTCGGTATGCTATCGGCAGCCAGTGCAGTGTCCTCAGCACAGGCTCAATGTGCTCCCACCTGGGGAGGCCCATCAACAACCTGGCTGCGGCATTCTGCACCAGCTGCAGCTTCCGAATCCGCGATAAGAGCAGCCCCATGTAGAGAGCATTACAGTAGTCTAACCTCGAGGTGACCATCTCATGGATCACTGTAGCCAGGTTGCCATGGTCGAGGAAGGGAAACAACTGCCAAATCAGCCTAAGATGGTAAAAGGCCGACCTGGCAGTGGCTGCCACCTGGGTCTCCATAGTTAGGGAGGAATCCAGGAGCACTCCCAGACTCCTAACCTCTGGCGCTGGCACCAATGGCGCCCCATCGAAGGTCGGGAGAGGGATCCCCAACCCCGAACCACCCTGACTCAGGCACAGGCCCTCTGTCTTCGCTGGGTTCAGCTTCAGCCAACTCAGTCTGAGCCACCCAGCCACGGCTTGCAAAGCCCGGTTCAGACCTTCTGTGCTGGAGTCCGACCGGCCGCCCAACATCAGATAGAGCTGGGTGTCATCTGCATATTGATGACACTCAAGCCCATACCTCTGGACAATCCAGGCAAGGGGGCACATATAGATGTTAAACAACATCGGGGAGACCACCGCCTCCTGAGGCGCGCCGCATTCAAGTGGGTGTCTTCGGGACTGCTGCTTCCCTAGCGCCACCCTTTGTCCCCGACCCTTGAGGAAAGAGGCAAGCCATTGAAGGGCAAGCCCCTGTATCCCCACATCAGCGAGGCGGTGGGTCAGCAACTGGTGGTCGACTGTGTCAAACGCGGCTGACAGATCTAACAACAACAGTGCCACCACTCCACCTTGATCCAGGTGCCTCCAGAGGTCGTCAGTAAGGGCGACCAGCACTGTCTCTGTCCCATGTCCCGGGCGAAAACCGGACTGGAGAGGATCTAGGACGGAAGCGTCATCCAGGAAGCTCTGTAGCTGTGTCGCCACCACCCTCTCAATTAATTTGCCCAAATAGGGCAAATTGGACACCGGCCGATAGTTGGCCAATTCGGTCAGGTCCAAGGCTGGTTTTTTCAAGAGAGGGCGGACCATTGCTTCCTTGAGTGCCTCAGGGAACTGCCCCTCAGAGAGGGACTTGTTGATAATCTCCCTTAGGGCACCTCGAAACCCCTTCTTTCCCTCTTCCTGGCAAACCCCCATATCCTCACCTTTCCCTGCTTACGTCTCTGCTTCTGTCAGGTAGCCCTGTCATAGATCTGGAATGTGGAGGGGTACCCTCCTTCTCGTTCTCAGCTCTCTTCTGCTCAGCTACTGTGTGCTATCTTATGCTTGACCTTGTAGATATTCCAGCTGCAGTTTACTTGGCTGGGAAAGTCAACGGCTTTTTTGCTCTGCCCGCTTGCTTTGCCGCACGCGTGAGATATATCCATTGGCTCATGCTCACAGGGGGAATGTTTGATTTCACTATAAGTCAGAGGCCCTAGTACTGACGGCCATTCCTGACACAAGCTGTACAGGTGTTCTTTAGTAGTGGATTAACTAATAAACAGTTATCTTCTTATGAAGCCCTGTGTGGTGTGACCTGACTAGGGAACCTGACAGCTTCCCACCCACCAACCACTTATCTGCCCTGTATGTTCAACTATATTATTTGTTCATTTATACCCCACCTTTCTCCACAATTGGGACCCAAAGCAACTTGCATAATTCTCTCTTCCATTTTATCTTCACAACAACCCTGTGAGGTAGGTTAGGATGCCTGGGTATGACCAGCCCAAAGTCACCCAGTGAGCTTCTATAGCAGAGTGGTGAATCAAACCTGAGTCTCTCATCCTAGTTTGAAACTCTAACCACTACACCACACTGGCTTTTGTTGGGTGAACAGTAGAAAACAGTCAGGCCTGGGTGAGTCATGCAAGTCAGGTGGTAGCAAGGCACCCGGTGGTTGCTGCAGCATGTGGCCTCAAAAGAGAGCCAGTTTGGTGTAGTGGTTAAGTGCGCGGACTCTAATCTGGGAGAACCGGGTTTGATTCCGCACTTCTCCACTTGCACCTGCTGGATGACCTTGGGCAAGCCATAGTTCTGGCACAGCTGTCCTTGAAAAAGAGCAGTTTCTGTCAGAGCTCTCTCAGCCCCACCTACCTCACAGGATGTCTGTTGTGGGGAAGGGGAAGGAGTTTGTAAGCTGCTCTGAGGGCGGGGTATAAATCCAGTCTCCTCCTCCTCCTCCTCCTTGTCAAAACAGCCCTGCAAAAGTCCCTACCCCCTCTCCCTGCCTTTCACTGATAGAAACCAAGGTTTTAACTGGCAATACTGTTGTAGGGCATTTGGTTTGTAAAGCTACAGGTGCTGCTTCTGTTATTTGTGGGGGGGTTAAACCCCTCCCCCCCGGTTATTTGTGTTGTTTAACATTGTTACTTTTTATGTGTTTCAGATTTTTCTACAAACCTGGGGCTTTTCTCAGGTTTGTAGAACAAGCTGTCTTGTCTGTTCATGGCTCCAGTTTCCAGATTTAAGTATCTACAGATTTGGCCATTTTGAGAATTAGATATATTGATATGCATATGATGTACAGATCTCAGATTTAGTGAGAACTTTGTGTCTGATGACCATCAGCTAACACCTTAACGTTATTTTTTAAAAAACAGTAACACAACATTTTCTATCCCTTTGTTTTAAAATCTCCTTAATAAAATTCAGGGGGAGGGGGACTAACACCTTACTGTTAGGTTAGATTCCTGTTTGCTTTGTGCCACTTTAAATTTCTGGGGGAGAAATCTGGGATTTAATTCTTGGTGCAGAGTGACCAGTATAAAGCTTTTCTCTGCTGGTTACCAGAAGCATTCACAAGGTGGAGGAATGAGCTATTTAAAATCCTGAATTTTCCCCATTTGCCCCCTGAGTTTTATAGATGGTCCCAGGGCTATATGGGACTGCTGATATAGTTCTCTCCCTGAATATGACGGTCCTGCTTAGCCGTCATGGACAGACTGTATGCTGTATTCTAGATGTAGCCATGCAGTATATCATTTGCCATACTGGTTTTGTGTCCCTTACCTAATATTGGCTAATGTAGATATGCATTTTCCATTTCTGGAGCACACTGAGCTGACACTTTGTGGCTTTACCACTAACCTTAAAATCTGTACTAGGTAGTTGCAGCTAATTCAGACCTCCTGACCTTTGTCCCAGTGTACCTTCTATGAGCAATCTCATATATTTTTCCCTGTTGCCTAGCTTCTTCAAGCTTTTCAATTGGTTTGGGATTTCACTGTCCAGAAATTTTGTTGTCACCCAAACATTGCTTACTAGATTATTTATACACAGCACTACTGATTCCAGTATGGATAAATGGAAGACCACCCATACTGTTTGCTTCTCCTGTGTGAACACTGTCAGTGTCTTCTTCCACTCTGCTTCTTGTTCAGCCATTTTCTAACCAGAAGAAGAGCGGTTGTCTTATTCCAGATTTGCTAAACGTTCTTAAAAGGGATTTTGACAAAAGCTTTTTAGAAATCATACTATGTGATGTGATGTCTATCTACATTCTTGACAATTACAGAGAAATTTTAAAAGTTGATGAGATGTGACTTTGCTTTGTGATATTTAATGCTTTCTACCAGTTTATCTCAGACATGAGTTAGACTGACAAGACTGTAATTTCACTGAATCCTTAGAACCTTTTTTAAAAAACTGGTGTTTTACTGACTGCTTTTTAGTCTTCTGGTAAGGTGACTGATTTTAGTGATCAGTGGTTTCACTTAAGGTTGCAAAAGAATAAAATATTAGAGACTTCAGTATTCATTGATTAAACTGCTGAGCAACTTTTCTATATGTTGCAGTGGCCCAATCTCACAGTAAATTTCTATTAATTGAATGGGGAGCAATTATTGCCAGTTCTCTCTTCCCACTGCAGACCTACAACTCCAGGAGCAGCATTTCAGCCTGCAGCTACAGGGTTGAGGCAAGGAAGTCCTCTTCCACTGTCAAAAATGCCTTCTGGTATCAGTGATTTACTGTGGGATCCAAGCCCCTGTTATCTTCCAAATAAGGTGTATTGGTGGAAGTATATAATGGCCTGTTTTTTACTTGGTCTTCTCTTACCTTACCCTTTGACAGGTCCCAAATAAGTTTCGCTATCCCTTTTATTATGAAATGTGCTGGTATGTACTAGAACGCTATGTCTACTGCATCACCAGCCATTCTCACCTGACTAAGGACTTTCAGAAGGAATCGCTCAGCATGGGTAAGAGCTGCTGTTTTTCACCTGCTACTATAAAAAC